TCACTGTTGCCTAAGAAGCTCTGGAATCTGTCCCAAGCTCTTTATCGTCTCTCCCACTCTGGCCCCCAGGATCTTATCTTACCTGAATGTCCACAATCACCCCCAACTCCTCTTTCTCCAGACCTAATCCATTCCTCTCACACTGCAGCCAGAGAGAGAGCTTCCCCAAATGCAAATGAACCAGCTCTGGATTAAACTCCCAGCTCCCCGAAGCCCTCAGGAGACTGAGTAGAAGGACTTACCTCTCTAGTGGTCTCATCTTTTGTCCTGCTTCCCTCAAATCTACTCTGGTCAGAAGTAGCAGATTCCTGAGCACATGTACCTCTGGCCTTCTGGGTATTTTGCAACGTCACTACTGCTTACAAGACGGAGCTAGGCAGAGTCAGGACTTTTTGGTAAGGGTCTTTGTTTGGACCCTAGCTGTTTCCTCTTAATTTCTTTAAAGTGTCAATTTCTTTGGGGCGCCAGGGTGACTCAGTCGGTTAAGCCTCTGACATCGACTCAGGTCATGATCTCATGACTCAGGTCATGATCTCACAGTAGGTGGGTTTGAGCCCCGCATTGGGCTCTGTGCTGACAGATCAAAGCCTGGAGCCTGCTTTAGATTCTGTGTCTCCCTCGCTCTCTGCCCCTCCCCCGCTCGCACTCTGTCTCTCTCAAAAATAACCATTAAAATAATTTAAGTGTCCCTTTCCTTAACTGTAAAACAGAAATAATAATAGCACATATTTCATGGGGTTCTTCTACATATTATATATGTATTGCCTGGCATACAGTAGTGCTTGCATAATAAATGTGAACTGTTTATTATTATTCTTGCTATTTTTTGTATATATCCTTTTTATTTTTTTAATCTTTTATTTAAATTCCAGTTAGTTAATATACAGCATAATATTAGTTTCAGGTGTACAATTGAGTGATTCAGCACTTACAAACAATATCCACTGCTCAACACAAGTGCCCTCCTTAATCCCCATCACCTTTTTTTTTTAGCTTGTTTTACTTTTTATTTTTT